TGGGTGGCTCAGTTGGTTAAACGACTGCCTTCGGCTCGGGTCATGATCCTGGAGTCCCAGGATCGAGTCCCGCATCGGGCTCTCTGCTCGGCGGGGGGTCTGCTTCTTCCTCTGACCCTCTTCCCTCTCGTGCTCTCTGTCTCTCATTCTCTCTCTCTCAAATAAATAAGTAAAATCTTTAAAAAAAAAAAAAGAAATATAAAGTGATACGAATGAGTCATCAAGGTGTATGCGTATTTGGGATGATACAAACATTACAGGAAAAACATGGGAAGGACATCTCCCACGAAAAACTGCTTTCTTAGGGTGTTAGGATTACAGGCAAACACCTTTCCTTTTGTCCATTTTCTGAATTGCGGCTGTATTATTATTACTTAAAAAACACCACATTTCTGGGCGCCTGGGTGGCTCAGATGGTTAAGCGTCTGCCTTTGGCTCAGGTCATGATTTCAGGGTCCTGGGATCGAGCCCCGCATCGAGCTCCCTGCTCCTTGGGAGCCTGCTTCTCCCTCTGCCTCTCTCTCTCTCTCTCTGTCTCTCATGAATAAATAAATAAAATCTTAAAAAAAACAAAAAACAAAAAAACACCACATTTTTTAAGCTACTAAGGAAACAAGCACTATGGGGAGATGAGACTGGCAATAAGGGGTTCAGAGCGCGGGGGAAAGGGCGAAGCCCATCGACTACATTGAAAACAGCAACCTCAAGTCCCGAGCTGAACTAGCTGGACAACCTAGGAAAGCCACTTAACTTCTGTTTTCCTCGTCATAAAAATGCCTACTTCTCAGGGATGAGATGAGAACCAAATAATTGATGTGTATTAAACACTTCACTCCACAAATGTTACTGTGACTGCACGGAACAAAGGCTGGACACAACCTCTCATCCTGGTAGTATTTCAAAAATACATTTTGTTAAGGAAGCATGTAATAATAATATAAACTTGTTTTTTAATTCTAAGACAATCCTACGTGCGAATACCTAGAATGAATGTCCCAGGTCACATTCCCTCATGAATATCAAAAAATGCACGTTATTTTCAGGCTCAAAGACAGCTGCCGAAAATACACTCAAACATACAGGCTGGAGCTTCGGCAGCTTCCTTCGATCATATGTGACTCCATTTCTGGTATAATGACAACCCTAACTCCAGCCAGACAAGGCGTCTTCATTCCTGCATTGAACCAACACCTACTGAGCCTTCCCGGGAGGTCAGACTGTGAATCACAAACTGCCAACCATAAAATGAATATAAATAGTGGAAAGTGACTATACTTGTGATTTTCTCATTCTTCTAAATGTATTCCGTCTTGAACAGATTCAGATCTTTGGGCTCAGTTTACCAGGAAATCATGTTTCTCAATTTTAACAGGATAACACAGTCAGTAGGACTACGTCAGTGTGGTTGACCTCCACCTCGCTTCGCTGTCACGAGTGCTGCCTGACTCCGTAAAGCTGGGGGTTAGCATCAGGAAGGTGCCAAGAGCAGAGCTCACGGAGAGACGTTTTGGCCAATACCTTAAGACTAAAATATCAGCAGATATCACTTTGATTTTAAGTGGCACATCAAAACCTACTTCTTCCACATGAACAAACCTAACTCATTAGACCTTATTCTTGATAAACTAAAATTTAATTGTAAACATAATGACAATACATGGATACTAATATCTTATCTTGATGAAAAGCTACGCTTTTATCTGTCTCTTAATGCATGAACCCTGCAGCGTAACTCACTTTCCTCAGGCAGGTGCGTACTATCAAGGAGGAGGTAAAGATACAGATGACGCGCCACGTGACGTCCTCCAGGAGCCCGTGAGTGTGGACTGCTCCCGTTGTCCCCACCTCCCTCCTTACTCTAGTCCTCCCGCCCCTAATCTTGAGAAAGGGAAGTTTCAGTCCTCCCAAGAGCAGCGTTGATATGGGTATTTACAATAATGCACCAATGTAGGGAGAATGTTCTCCTTCCCAGCACGGCCGGAAAAAAAGTGAACCGCAGGAAAGGAAATCATAGCAACTGGAAACAAATTTGGCACGATAAAGAAGTGGGTTCAGATCCTGGGCCTCAAGCTGTAACCTCGGTCACTTGGTTTAAGCTACTTCAGCCCTAGTTTCCTCAACAGTAAGACACCAATAAATAGTAACTTTTATTTTTTCCTACTGTGAATGAAAGAACACTATATTTGGCATCAGAGGCATGGGTTCAAGTTTCAGTTATGTCCCCTAATTATATGACATCAGGGAAGTAATACAGTCTGTGAGTCTCAGTTGCTTCATTTATGAGAGACACATGAAAATATCAGCTTTAACTTTCTCATACTTAGGAGGATCTAAGTAAAGAAAGTGGCTTCTCTAAACATCCTTTCTGACCTGTAAAGAGTTTAATAAATATAAGACAGTTTTACTGATAAAATAAGCACAATCTAACGGGAAGGGGAAAAAAAACCACACACATACACTACAAATAATGGCATGCATGCCCACAAATTCTCAGGGGAATAAAAAAGAATAGGAGTGATCATTAATTTTCCATCTGTTGGTTATAACTTTTATAAGTTATATAAGGCATAAGGCAGAAGGTGACAATAACCTAACAAAGCCAAAAGAGAGCCAGAAGCAACAATGACTTGCCATATATAACTCCTTATTGATGCCAAGATACTTTCCGTTTCCACAGCCAACATCAGCCACTAATGAACCACTTGGCAAAGCTTTCAAGAAGTCCACGACGCGCGGCCACGGGGTGTGTCTCGTGCTGCTGAAGTGCTCAGCAATCTCTTCATAGACTCTATGGACGTATTCTCGCTCCAGCTGTGAGGCTTCTCTAGCGCTCTCTGGAAATGATGGGAGGGTCTCCTTCATCTGGCTGTCACAGACCAAAGGGTAACCTAATGAAAAATAGGGCAATATAAACCGTTCATTTTTATCCAAGTGATTCATAATGTATGTTTTCTTAAAAAAAACAAGCAAATCAATGCAAATTTGGTGGCTAGGGATAAGCAGGCTCTGATTTATCAGTTTAAAAATAACTCTTACCTAACAAGTCCAATTACATGTGTGAGGGGTCTAAATGAAAAAAGGGAAAAATCCATCTGCAACAAGACATGAACTGCAATTCTGCAAGCCTGATAATGCAGATGCCTAGTTCATCCTGGGATTAAGGTCCTTTTATTTCGGAAAGCATCTTGATGGGCCTGGCCTAACCAGAAGAAATTTAGCTGAATTAACAGGAGTTAGGGTTTTTCTCCTGGTGAGCAAAGGAAACAGGAGTTCTGGGGCCCTAGCACTCTTGGAAAAACAACAAGACCTAAGAGAAAGTGTCATTTGGTTATGATCACAAGCATTTAATGAACACTATTTGAAGGAGTTTATACGGATGGTCTCAATTCTCACAATAACACCTTGAGATGGTACTACTGCGTCCATTTTACAGATGAGGACATGACGCACAGAATGCTAAGTAACGATCCTGAAGTGACAAAGACGGTAAGTCACAGAGCCAGGACTTGCACCCAGCCAGTGGGGACTCGAGAGCCCATAATCTCAGTGACTGCAGGCATCGCCTCCTTCAACAGAATCAGCACACCCTAAGGAGCACACCATCAAGTCAAGGAGATGACCAAGGAAGTTGAGGATACACTGTTATCCTAATTAACATCCTAATTAAATGAATTCTGAAGTTGTTCCCTGTTCCCTGCAATCATGTCTAACACTCATTTTAAATCCTTGCCTGTTCTCTGCTATGCTATAATTTCCCTTTATCTCCGGCCGAAGTCTAGGAGACGCATCTTTTTACTGCAGGAAATACAGGAGGAAGGAGCAGTGTTCCAGAGAAGCCACAGTGAGGACAGAGGCAATAATGAGAAATCATGTGGCAGCTCAGAAGTGGGCGGCAGCGTTCATGGCTTTGGGAATTCTCCCTAACTCTCATCAGAGTGTGCCGAACCTTGAGAAAGGGGTAGGAGACAGCTAGTCTCTGCTACTGTGTGAAGGGCAGCTCTAAACATTTCATGCGGACATTGAAGAAAGCCCGACGGCTCTAACACCTGCAGGTGACAACAGACGGGTTACCTTGTATCTTGCGCACATCAGGATTACACTACCGCATTCACTACAATGACCCTCAACCGGTCCTGGTAACATTTTATCCTCTTAGAAATTATAAACAGCTGAGTAATCTAGAGAGGCAACCCTTCTCCTTAAAAATTCACAAATTTTGACCAAAAGTATCCAAAAAGATGGCCTTGAACGTGAAAAACATCTGTAAACTGAATATACATTCAGAATTTCTATAATATGCCTTACATTCAATTAACATCCGCAACAAAGAAACCTCTGTAGAAGAAAACTAGGTTGTCTCTCCAACTAGACCCTCAGGTTCCTCAAGAACAGGAGTCGTGCTGTATTTTTCATTATCTTGTAAAACTATAGACAGTGTCAGACACTCAACAAATACAAAATACACTTTTTTTAATTGATAAAAAAATTTGATGTTCCAAGGCCTCAATGACACTTTTAGCAAAAGAAACAAAAGTCTGTTTTAAGCTTCACTAACACCAAGATATCAGATTTAGGAAAAAAAAAGATATCAAATATAGCAATTTCAAGTTTAATAACAGATACTACTTACAAAATGAAAGAGATTTTTATTCAATGAGTCCAAGAAATACAAGTTATGATGTACTTGTATAGACAATTCAAAATAACATCCTCTTGACAAGTTTTTGGCATTTCTCTTATTCCCTCCTAGATTTCCAAACTGACCAAAACACAAACCACTGTTTATCCCCCTAGAGATATCTACTTACTATGCAGCAATTGGTTCATCTCTAACTTCCTCGTTGGGTTAATGAGAAGTAATTTAGAAACTTGACAAGCTGTTTCCAATAAAACCTATTTTTGTACAAATGATATTTTAACATGCTATAATTTTATTTAGCACTCTTAACTGTGACTTCAATTTAAGAAAATGTTTATTTGGCATCCAACTATGCCTAAGTACTATATTTGGGAAAATAAAGATGAATAAAATGCAGTCCCTGCTTTCAAGGAATACAAACTCAATGGGGGCGGTTAAGAAAAATCTCCATTAAGTACAACACTACGCAGAGTATGAGAAATGCCATTAGGGTTAAGACCAAGCTCTCCTTGGTTCTGATGGGACTTTAAAAGATTTTTACACTAGATTTACTCCATTTTATAGTGGAACCAAAATTATATACTTACTACAATTACAAGGTGTTTGCCTCACTTTCCTAAATGTAAATGATGTCCTTATTCCCCTCTTGCTTAAAGTTAAGTCTCCAACATCACTGGTGATAATCCCACTTCTGTGACCCTTGGATGCTTGAACAGTATCAAATTTTCTGGGTGTGATTCTAAAAACGAGAGTCAAAATAATTTATTTAATACTGTATTCAAAAAAATTTTCATATCCTTTTAAAAATATCAAGGGAACAAAGCAAATTTAGAAGAATTTATGCCAAATATCTACTGGATTCCCCAAATTGTTAAGCAATTTAGAAATAGAAGTCTCTATTTTTTAAGAATCTATCTTCAGGGTAATCATATTAAAAGAATGTACACTAACAAGTTATTCAAAAATACAAATAGAATAATAACAAATATTTAATTTTTTTTAAGATTTTAAGTAATCTCTACACCCAATGCGGGGCTTGAACTCACAACCCCAAGATCAAAAGCGGCACGCTCCTCTGACTGAGCCAGCCAGGCGCCCACAAATATTTAATTAATACAATTCTGAGAAAGGGAAAAAAAAACAAGGAACAGATGGAGTGAAGAGGAAACACAAACAGTAAACTTAAATCCAATCAATAATTACGTCAAATGTAAAAAGACTACAACATCCAATTAAAGAAAAAAGAATGTCAGAATGGGTTAAAAAAATAAAGTCCATGGGGCGCCTGGGTGGCTCAGTTGGTTAAGCGTCTGCCTTCGGCTCAGGTCATGATCCCGGGGTCCTGGGATCGAGCCCCGTATCGGGCTCCCTGCTCCATGGGAAGCCTGCTTCTCCCTCTCCCACTCCCCCTGCTTGTGTTCCCTCTCTCGCTGTGTGTGTCTCTCTCTGTCAAATAAATAAATAAAATCTTTTTAAAAATAAATAAGTAAATAAAATAAAAATAAAAAAATAAAGTCCAATTATATGCTGATTACAAGAGATACCCACCTTAAAATAAGGACGTAGAATGGCTGAAAATCAAGATAGGAAAAAAAAAGACACAGGGGCACCTGAGTGGCTCAGTCAGTTGAGCGTCTGCCTTTGGCTCAGGTCATGACCCTGGGGTCCTGAGATCGAGCCCCGCATCGGGCTCCCTGCTCAGCGGGAAGCCTGCTTCTCCCTCTCCTCCCCGCTGTGCTCTCTCTCGCTGTCTCTGTCACTATCTCTGTCTCTCTCTCTCAAATAAATAAATAAAATCTTAAAAAAAAAGAAAAAAAGATATACAGAAGACAAGTATTTTACATATTCCAAGCAAAACCAAAAGAAAAGTGGTATAGCTATCCTAATCAAAGTAGGCTTCAAAGTAATAAATATTACTAGAGATGAAAAGGGACATTTCTTATTTTATTTTATTTATTCATTTTTTTTATGTAGGCTCCACACCCAGCGTGGAGCCCGTCGTGGGGCTTGAACTCATGATCCTAAGATCAAGAGTCCGATGCCTAACCAACTGAGCCACTCAGGTGCCCCGAAAAGGGACATTTCATAATTAACAACAGTGTCAATACAACAGGAATATATAAAAACCATGTATATTTGTATGCATCTAACGAATAACACAGCCTCAAAATACATAAAGCAAAAAGTGAACATAAATAACAGGAGAAATAGACAAATACATAATTATCATTGTAGCTTTGAATACATCTTTCTTAGTAAGGGAAATCTAGTTGAGGGTCAAGGACATCAACATCAGAAAACAACAGATAATGGAACAGTTCCAGGCTGCCTGACATTCTTACACTTGGTATTACCTCAGTTTTTAATTTTAGTCATTTTAGTGAGTGGCAAGTGGTATGAAATTGTGGTGGTTTGTTTTTTTTTTTAAGATTTATTTATTTATTTGAGAGAGAGTGAGCGTGCATGCGCAAGTGCAGGGAGGGGCAGAGGGAGAGAATCTTCAAGCCAACTCCCCAGTGAGCCTGCAGCCCTATCTCAGGACCCATGAGATCATGACCTGAGCCAAAACCAAGAGTTGGATGCTTTACCAACTGAGCTACTCAGGCACCCCTGAAACTGTGGTTTTAATTTGCATTTCTCTGATTACTAATGATGCTGTATATTTTTTTGTGTGCTTATTAGCCATTCATTGATACTTTTTTTGGTGAAGGATCTGTTCAAATCTTAAGCCCAAACCTTTGTTAGATATGTGTATTCTGGATATTTTCTCCCCATGTGTGGCATGCCTTTTCATTTTTTTTAATGATATTTTTTGACGAGTAAGTTTTTAATTTTGATGCAGTTAATCTTTTTTTTCTTTTATAGTGTGTTCTAAAATCTTTCTTTAAAAAACTTTGCCTACCCCAAGGTTGTGAAAATATTCTCTTGCATTTTCTTCTAGATGTTTTACAAGTTTCACTTTTACATTTAAATCTATGTTCTACCTTGGGGCGCCTGGGTGGCTTAGTCGGTTAAGCATCCAACTCTTAATTTTGGCTTAGGTCATGATCTCGGGGTCGTGAGATCAAGCCCCAAGTCGGGCTCCACACTCAGTGGAGAGTCTGTTTGGGATTCTCGCTCTTCCTCTCCCTCGCCCTCTGCCCCTCCCCCAGCTTGCTCATGTTCACGCTCTCTCTCAAAATAAATAAATCTTTGAAAAAAATCTATGATCTACCTCATATTACCCTTTGTAAATGGTGTGAGGCAGACATGGACATTCGATTGTTCCAGCACCAGCTGTTTATAAATTTCCTTTCCACACTGAATTGCATTGGTGTCTTTGTCAAAAATCAACTGACCTTGGGGTGCCTGGGTGGCTCAGTTAGTTAAGTGTCTGCCTTCAGCTCGGGTCATGATCCCAGGGTCCTGGGATCGAGCCCCACGTCAGGCTCCCCGCTCAGCAGGGAGCCTGCTTCTCCCTCGACCTGCTGCTCCCACTGCTTGTGCTCTCTCTCTCTTCTGTCAAATAAAAAAAAAAAAAAATCAACTGACCTTATATATGTGGATATATTCTGCCCCACTGGTCTACCTACCCATACACTAACACTACATTCTTTTCTCCCTCTTTTTTTTTCAAGTAGGCTCCACATCCAGCGTGGAGTCCAACGTGGAGCCTGAACCCACAACCCTGAGATCAAGACCTGAGCTAAGATCAAGTCAGACATTTAACCGACTGAGCCACCTGGGCATCTCATACACTTTTTTGATTATGTAGCTTTAGTAAATTTTAAAAACCAGGTAGAATAAATCCTCCAACACTGTTCTTCTGCTTCAAGACCTTTTTGATTTTACTAGATCCTTCACATTTCCCTATAAATTTTAGAATCTGCTCATCAATTTCTATAAAAAAGTCTTAAGATTTCTAATTGGAATTACACTGAAACATTAGATCAACTTCGGACAATTGATATCTTAACAATATTGAGTTTCCTATCCCTGATCTCAGCATCTGTACCTCTTCATTCATTTCGGTCTTCTTTAATTTCTCTCAGCAGTGTTTCATAATTTTCAGTGTATTATGTGTTGCATACCTTTTGTTAAATTTATTCCTAAGGATTTAAATCTTCTGAGTCTAAGTTTTCTGCTTGATATACCCTAGTTAATCTACCTCCTATAGAGGTGGGTTTTATATTCAGAGGGAATGTGCTAAGCCTAAAAGATCTCAGCAAATTATTAAAAAGCATAATTTTTATATTTAAGTTGTTGATTCCTCTTTAGTAGGAGCCAGGTAAGCTTTTTCTACACATCTAAAAAAGAGAATGTTCAACCATATAATTAAAATGGATTTGATCCTAAAGTGAAAAAATATAATGTATTTCAGTTCTCAATTTTCATTTTGTCATTGTTATACTCTTTCTTCAGTCTGTTGTTAGAATCAGAATTCCCAAAAGGCAACAAAAGCAAAAATAAACAAGTGGGACTACATCAAGCTGAAAACCTTTTGTACAGTGAAGGAAACCATCAACAAAATGAAATGGCCACTTACAGAATGAGAAAAAATATTTTATATTATATATCTGGTAATGGGTGAATACCTAAAACATATAAAGAACTACAACTCAACAGCAAAAAATAAACCATTTAAAAAATGGGCAGAGGATCTGAATAGACAATTTTCCAAAGAAGACATACAGATGGTCAACAGGTACATGAAAATGTGCTCCATATCACTAGTCATCAGGGGAACAGAAATCAAAACCACAATGAGGTGTCACCTCATACCTGCTGCAATGGCTATGATCAGAAAGATAAAAAATCACAAGGGCTGGCAAGGGTGTAGAGAAAAGGAAACCCCTGGGCCCTGCTGGTGGAAATGTCGTTTGTGCAGCCGCTATGAAAAAGAGTATGGAGGTTCCTCAAAAATTAAAAACAGAACTACCCTGTGATCCAGCAATTCCACTACTGGATCTTTATCCAGAGGAAATAAAAACACTAACTTGAAGGGATACCTGCATTTCATGGTCACTGTAGCTATCATTTACAACAGCCAAGACATGGAAACAACCTAAGTGTCCATCAGTGGATGAATGAAGAAGGACACTGTGGTATGTATATTTTTAAAAATTTCATTTTCTAAAAACTAATTTTTGAATATTGACCTCGTAGGCTACAACCTTGCTATATTCATTTTTTAGTTCCAGCACTTGTTTTGTAGATTTCCTAGGATTTTCTACATCCGCAATCATAAAGAGCTTTACTTCTTCCTTTCAAATCCGTATGATTTTTATTTCTTTTTCTTGACTTGTTATACTATGTAAAACACCCACTGTAATATTAAAGAGCGGTGGTGAGAGCAGACATCCCTGCCCTGTTGAGTATCTTAGGAAAAGGCATTCACTGTTTCACCATTAAATACGATGTCAGCTGTGGGTTTCTCAGATGCCCTTTATCAGATTGAAGAAGTTTCCTTCCTTTTTTGCCAAGTTTTTATCATGAACGGATACGGAATTCTGTCAAATACATTTTTTGTATCAATCAAGATGATTATTTTTTTCGCCTTTGTTCTTTTTATGTCATGAATTACCTGGTTTGGTTTCAAAATGTTAAGCCAATCTTGCAGTCCTGGGATAAACTCTACTTGGTCATGATGTACGTTCTTTTTTATATATCGTACAATTGGATTTTCTCCTATTTTGCTAAGGATGTTTTTTCACCTGTTATGAGAGATATCGGTCTGTAATTTTCTCTTATTGTAATGTCTTTGACAT